AAAGGATTATAAATCATGCTGCTATAAAGACACATGCACACGTATGTTTATTGCGGCACTATTCACAATAGCAAAGACTTGGAATCAACCCAAATGTCCATCAGTGACAGACTGGATTAAGAAAATGTGGCACATATACACCATGGAATACTATGCAGCCGTAAAAAAGATGAGTTTTTGTCCTTTGTAGGGACATGGATGCAGCTGGAAACCATCATTCTTAGCAAACTATCACAAGAACAGAAAACCAAACACCGCATGTTCTCACTCATAGGTGGGAACTGAACAATGAGATCACTTGGACTCGGGAAGGGGAACATCACACACCGGGGCCTATCATGGGGAGGGGGGAGGGGGGAGGGATTGCAGTGGGAGTTATACCTGATGTAAATGACGAGTTGATGGGTGCTGACGAGTTGATGGGTGTAGCACACCAACATGGCACAAGTATACATATGTATCAAACCTGCACGTTATGCACATGTACCCTAGAACTTAAAATATAATAATAATAAAAAATAAATAAATAAATAAATAAATAAATAAATAAATAAAAAGAGTTGGGTAGAAGAGGTGAAAAGGGACTGAGAACAAGCAGCCTGCAAAGTAGGAAGAAAATCAGTAGAAATGGTCATGGAAGCACAGAGCCCAGAGTGTTTAAGTAAGGTGGAAGTGGCCAAATATGATAGAAAGTCCTTAAAGATTAATTCGCAAGATCAGCTTTAGTGAAAGACTATAAACGATGTTGGATTGAAATTAGGTTAAAAAAAGACTGACAGTAGTATGGATAATCTTTATCATTCAAGAAACCTGGATCACCCCTGCACTAAGACTCATTATCTCACTTAATCCTCAAAATTACCATTATCCTTATTTTATAGATGAGGACACTGAGGTTTACCCCAAGGTTATGGGACAAGCCTAATTTTCTCATCTCATCTAGATGAGCCCTAAAAGTCCTTCTACCTCTATGAAAAAATGAAAAACTATACCTCTGTTTCTGTTCCACAGTCATAATAAATTTAGCATCTTTCACAAGAATAGAAGCAGCCTGTTGCACACCCTTCCTTGTTGCACAAAACTGAAAATAAATTCATAACTTTTGTATTAATCATGTTAAAAACTGAATATACTAAAAAATAAGCTATCAACAATCCATACCACAAGTGTGGGTTTCTGATCAGAATACATTTGTATAACACTGGCAATTTTGTAGTTGAGGGTTAAATCAAACTTAAATTCAGTTTGGTTACTGCTGCAGGGAAATCCAAGGACCACTTTCTGAAGTTTCACTGGTCTGTGGCTCTCATCCATTTTCAGACATACAGCTGGTCTTTCACCATCTGAAAGCCATTCTGCAATCTTTAAAACACAAAAACGTGCATTAAAACATTTTTCTAGTAAAGTTTTATTGCTAAAAACAACCCAATTACAGATCACTTTAAGGTCAAGCTATAAAAGTATTTAATCAAGTATACTGTCTTTTTCAATATTACATATTCAATTAATATTATTCTGTTGATATAGTGGTCAACACTACCAACAGTAGTATTTCAAGATTATACCCACTTTTCATCATGGTAAACTTCCAATTAGTTATTATTAGTTTTATTTTCCTTCATAAGAATCCAAAGAAAAATTAAAATCAATTTTGTCACAGAGAACAAATTTCTCACTATCATTTTACCTTCTTTGCTATTTTTGAAAACTATGCCTCAAAATAGCTGACATCTCTTTTGTGTTGTCCTAAATATTAGATAAATAGTAGCAAAGTAAAAGTTGGTTTAGGTTTGCAAGGGTTGACAAGTTTTTAAGCAGACAACAAACACTTGAGAGATGCCAGTGCCAAAAGCAAACTTCAGACTCAACCTAGAGTCACTAGTTAGTTTCTGGAACTGTGGTAAGCAATCTTTATCTTTACATAGCCCAGTTAATAATCAGGCTCCATGCCCGGCTATGAAACTGACTGTTGTTTTGACAGGAAGAAAACATTAAAATAGGTTCAAGGTTATCATGAATAGGGATAAGATCACACAAGAATTTACAGTTTGAGGGGAGCAGAAGGCCAAGAATAGAGACCTTAATTTAGGGGAAAACGGAGGAAGAAGATCTGACAAAGAGAAAGAGAAACAGCATTCACAGAAGTAGTGTTTATCACAAAGGGGAAAAGTTTGATGAATTAGAGAGTACTAGTACATAATAATGGCTTACAAATAAGTAAGAAAAATTTAGTATCCCAAAGTGAAAAAAAGCCAAATGACATAATCTGGCAAGTTTTTAAAAAAGAACTTAAAGTAGTTGATAAATATATTAAAAATATTTACTTTAGTAGAAATCAAAGCAGCAAAAAATTTTTAAATGTGATACCACACTAAACAATAAGTCCTGTAAATATTTAAAAATAATAATAGCAATAATAATTCCATTATTAAACGATCCAGTGTTAGGATACAGGAAAATAGCTTCTGGTAGAAGTGTAAATGAATACAACATTTATTGAAAGAAGTGCTTCTTTAGAGTTTTATATATCCTTTGATTCAGTTATTTCATTCTAAAAGTTCACCCTAAGGAAATAATCATGGATGTTTCAGATATATTAATTTCACTCTGTTTACAATAGCAAAAATTGGAAATAATCTTCCATTATTATATCGTTTGATAAATAAATTACAACAAAACCACAAAAATATTACTGAAGAATATTTAATGATATAAAAATGTTTATAGATGAAATGTAGGTCAAAAAAAAGAGTATATACATTATGATTCCTACATGCTTACAAAAAAAAGTATATACATTATGCTTCCTACATGTGGAAAGACAAACACTAGGATTTAGTTTTGTTGTTTTAATAAACTTTAAATTTTTCTATATTATTCTTGACAAATACGAACAAAATAAGCTGTCATTTTAAGAACAAGAAAATGATTAATTGTGCCAAATTAACGATAAAGACAAAATATTCCATTGGAATAAACAATATAGTGGCTATTTGTGAAAACAATTTCTAAGAACTAGTAGGGGAAAACCAGTATGATAGTAGGCTGAGAAGTAAGTAGGAGTGAGAAAGTAGAGTGAGACTATTATTTTTCAAGACGTTTACTTAAAAATTGAAGAAAAAATTAAGTCATCTGTTCATTATGGAAAGGACAATATTGCATATTATTATTTCTTTACATGTCCATGTACCTCATTAACCATGAAATCCTCCTCGAGGACGGAGTCCACATATTTTCACTTTTGCATCTATTGTTAGTGTCTACCACAATGCCAAGCATACAGAATTGAGGAACAAGTGGTAATCATCTAAGCAATTATTTTTATTCTCCACCATACTTCACTATACAATTAGAGTCAGCTAGTTAAAACCACCATCACATATTATTAGTGAAGTTATTATGAGGCACCTGAGACCCATGAAACTAAGACTTTTAGATACTAGCAAACAAGAGATGTCCACATGTCCACAAAAAATATTTTATTAAACCTGATTAACCAAATTTTATGGCCTTAATACTGTCATATTTATAAGATCTAGCCACAACTTTCTACAACATACTTTCCTATTAAAGCAAAGTACAAAAAAATTCACTTTTCTCTAAGATCAAAATAACTAAATATGTCACAAGTCATAAAAAACCTAAGAGCTCAGCTAAAATTGTAACTCACATCCTCAGCATTTGGAATTGTTGCAGATACAGCTACAAATCGCATTGGAATAACAGTGCTGGTATTTTTTAAAGTCTGAGAAACAGACTGTACAGTTTTCATTCTGCTGACTACAACTTCAAGAGTTGGACCACGATTTTCATCTTTTACAATATGTACCTAAGCAGGAAATCAAGAAAAAAATCATTAGCTATAGAATTATAAATACATGTAATCAATTAAAATATTCAATAATACTAACATTCTTGCTTGAGAAAATGAGCATTTTCCATTTGAAGGGATAAAACACACACATAGTTTGGTTGAAATGTCTTTTTTCTTTCTGTCTTATTCTAATTATCCTTTTATGTTTATCTCTGAAAGTGAATGCATTCATTACCTCATCAATGAGAAACAGTCGAACCAGTTGAACCAAAGAGTTGTCTCTCCATTTCCTAGTCATGCTATCCCATTTTTCCTAGACAGAAAAAAAAAAGCATACAAGTAATTTAATGTGATAAGGAATTATAATAAATATTCAGATATCAATATTTTTAACATGACATATTACAAATAATGGGCAATTTTGGTTGATCCCTTAAGAGTATCCTGAAAAATATTTTAAAATTAAAAAATACTTAAAGAATTTTTACAGTCTTAAAGGTATTTTTAAAACTGGGCCCTCAATTATTTTTACACTGAACCACAAAATATTCTAAGTCCAAGTTTTATTACCTGTTTTTAAATTCTACCAAGGACCTCCCTCTATAATATACTACTTAGGTAAAAGAATAAAGCAATAAATATGACTACAAAGTATCCACAATAACAAACTGCCTATGCTTTGTCAATTTTTCCAATTTGGTCATTTGTCTTTTACTTACTGACTTGTAGGTATTCTTTTTAGGCCTTGAATTGCAGTATTTTTTTAATGTTCATTTGTTTACATTGTAAATATATGCTTCTAGTTTGTATTTTTTAAACTTTTTGTCTCGGTAAAGAAAAATAGGTATTTTCTAACGAACTAAGGAAATCATAAAGTATAAATAATACCTACAGGAGTTGTCATAATAATATGGGCATGCTGAATCTCAAATAAGTCATCCATTACTGTATCTCCAGTAAGTTCTTTACAATTCAATCCTATTGGTCCAAATTTTTCTTTCCAGTCACCAAAACGCTGACTACACAAGGCTTTTATTGGTGCCACTGTAACAGTATAAAATATTTACTTTGAACATCAGTTCAATTTTAAAATTATTTTCACAAACTTTGGTTAATAAAGTTAGCATAAAAATATACATCTACATACTCCTAAGATAAAAATGAACAATATAGGCATATTATTTAGAGCAGGGGGGTCCAGTCTTTTGGCTTCCCTGGGTCACACTGGAAGAAGAACTGTATTGAGCCACACATAAAATATGCTAACACTAACGATGACTGATAAGCTAAAGAAAAAAAATTCTCATGTTTTGCAAACATTACAAATTGTCATAAGTTTACAAATTTGTGTTGGGCTGCATTCAAAGCCGTCCTGGGCCACAAGCGGCCTGAAGGCCACAAGTTAGACAAGTTTGATTTAGAGATATCAAGGCAATAACCAAAAAGAACTAAAAATAGAAATGATTTCTCAGGCAAGTGTAACTAAAAGTGGAGAAAGGTAGGGCAGAAGATGATTACTTTTCATCATAAGGCCTTTAGTGATACTTGATTTTTAATCCATATGCATATATTACTTTGATTAAAAAAAAATTAAAAAAAATACACACCTAAGAAAGGAGAGTAAAAGTGCCTATGCAAATTTCTAGAATTACTAAATGTTTGATTTTATTTGTTCATTTTGCCTGTCCTTTAAAAAATAAGCATGTAAAAGTCAAATTCTCAATTCAAATATTACTTTTTATTTATAATTCTGGAAAATGTGTTTTAAATTTAATGACAAATAGGACCAGACTTTACTAGAAATATATAGAAAACCAAGTAATTCCTAAGGCCGGAAACTGAATTCATTTCTTCATTTTGCTTCAATGGTTTTTCGTTATTATAATTAATCATCACTCTTAAAATAAATACTTACTGTAAACAATTTTAATATTCAACCATGGCAATGGTACTTCCATTAACAATCTTGTTATAGCTAGTTCAAACACTACAGTTTTTCCAGAACCAGTTGGAGCACAAATCACAAAATTCCTATCTGTGTAAAGAAGCTAAAAAGTAAAAAGTTATCAATCATGTAACGTATAGAATTTTTCATACATATTCTCAATTTGTTAAAAAAAGTCTTAATAAGAATCTAAGGAATAATAATTCAAACATTTCTCCTCTAAAGTTATAGAAATTGTAACTTTGCTCTAGAGCCTCTACTCTCGAAAAATAACATTATTAGTATTTTATCACCCTGTTTTATTTGTCAATGTAGACCTAGAAGAAAATCATTCCTGGCTGAGTGTGATGGCTTACACCTGTAATCCCAGCACTTTGGGAAGCCAAGGAAGGCAGATAACTTGAGGTCAGGAGTTCAAGACGACCCTGGCCAACAAAGCAAAACCCTGTCTCCACTACAAATACAAAACTTAGCCAGGAGTGGTGTCTCATGCCTGTAATCCCAGTTACTTGGGTGGCTGAGGCAGGAGAATTGCTTGAACCTGGAAAGTAGAAGTTGCAGTGAGCTGAGATTTCACCACTGCACTCAAATACAAACAAATCCACCTACGAAAATCACACATATTC